TCCAACCTTGTGAAGTGCATCGCGCTGCGACTCAAAACGAATGGAAGAGCCGATGGAGAGGATCACCATTACCTGCTTGGTGGAAGGTGCCCTTCAAATGTGGCCGAAAAAAAGATCTTGGGATCAAAATTTTGTCGACTCTTAAGCCTTCCCTTTCAGTGCGTTAGGGCGGCCAAAAGGGCAACCAATGTTGTCTTTGCAATTAAACGAACTTTCATAGTCATAGGCAAAAAGTTATTTAGAAAAGTATAGGGGGCGTTCATTCGTTCACATCTGTAACATGGAATCCAGGCCTGGTGCCCGTGACTAAAAAGACTATAAGTCACTGGAAAGAGTTCAGAGAAGAGCGACAAAAATTGTGAAAGGCCTCAGGACTTTACCTTACAACTGCAGACTCAGTAAACTTAAACTATTTCCTCTTGAGGACAGGCAGATTGGAGGAGATCTCATAGAGGCGTATCGGATATTGAGGAACCGGGACTGTGCCCTAAATCTCGACGATTTCTTCACCCAATGCCGCCTCGACGTTCGTAGATACTCTTTTTCACAGCGAGTCGTCGATGCTTCCCGAGGACGTGATAATGGCGGATTCTACGGAGACATTCAAACAAAGACTGGGTGTATATTTGCTTGGAAAATGCCATCTGTCTGGACAGAACAGCTCTGTTGTGCCAGACCAACGCCTTGCATACACCTACCGCTAATACGGATGATTGTCATTTAATTTTACCGAAATCATCTACAGCTGAATGTTCGCGAGGTTCGGTCCTGCATTTTCAAAGAAAAATATTATCTTAAGTGTGTATATTACTGACAACATTTTAGTACCATGTTTAGTTAAATTTTGATATTGCATGAACCGTTTTCAGTAAGGGTTTTCATAGGCATTGCCTATTACCCTTAAAATATGCTGACCAATATTCTGACCTGTACAACGATTCTGGTTATAGTAGTTTCTCGCCATCGGGTTGTCGCTCTGAGAAACCAATCGATTTTCAAAGCAACGATTACAGTTTATTATTTGATGCATTTCTGTTGCAGGTCCTGGGCATCCCAGAGGCATTTCAAGCAACTTACGTAGTGTTGGCAGTAAATTATGAATCTTGCAGTTTTAATGTCAACTTCTGGTCCAACCTCATTCCATCCTACCATCCAGGGTGTCGATTTGGAGTATGTTACGTTTATCGGATCTTAGAGGGCACTTTGTTGACGGTCCATAATTATCTGCACCTGGTTTCGGCAAATCGGCCTCATGTGACCCTAAAATTTATCTACGTTTTGTTGATTAAAATGTCTCATCTGTTGACTGGACAAATTTTGCAGAAAATATCTTTGGTGCAGATCGTCCAAACTTCTACAGACCTAACTATTTTATTAAAGTTATTGTTGTTTTATTTAAATTGAATCGACCCTCCCCTCTGGAAGTCCAGCAGCAAACCAACCACTACATTATGCGAAAACCAGACCTAAACTTCCGCAGATCTCTTGTTTGCGCATGGGCTGGTCGCGTTGACCAAGCGAAGGCCTGAAGCCTGTCTCCTTCGCTTGGTGCAGGCATATCAAATTATACCGAAATGTGAACGTTCCTAACTTCGAGTGCTATGGTCTCGCTTTATTCAAAAGGTACTTTCTACGCCAAATTATGGAAACCCGTTTCAAGATTAGTCGCACAATTATGGGCTCAACCGCATTCAGTAGAATGGCAGGGCTAGGAAAAGTTGTGCCTTTTTGAATGCTATACTGCTACACCTAACAGTCCATAAAACAAAACCTCCGAGTGTTTTGTAAACTACCACTGGGATGAAAACGGTCTCTGTACTCGCACATCACTTCGCCTACATTTCTGCTAAAAAAGGAGCACCAACAAAGCCTATATCTGCATAATAAACATGGACTTATTTGTCTCCGCAGACAGAGAAGAGCACTAAAAACATGTCGCTACTGTGTATGAGTTTCAGAGACGGGCGAACATATGCTGCAGTGGTCCAGCCCTCTGTCTCTGCTAATTCCGTGCACACTGTCCTACCATAACAGACAGTAGCCATGTCAGTCAGATCAGTTTTCATTTTGATGAAGGACCGTAGCAGCTGCGTGGAGGCGGACATTACACTGTCAAGACGAGTGACGGTGATGGTTCAGTATATTTTTGGAGTCGCAGAAGTTTGCTTCAAAACAACGCTACTTAAATTGTGTGAGTACTGTTTTCATCGCCTAGTAATAATTTGGCACTCTTTACGGTGGTCTCCGATGGGTGCCTGGCGTTCTCATCCTACATGTTGATGGTCTGTCCAAAAGTGGTGCCCCCTATACGCAGATATTAATGCGTCGCTGCCTATTCACCTAGGTCGGAATGTTACGCGTATGGTCATTCGTTGATGGATATAGCATGCGCGGGATGATATCGTTCACTTATGGAATAAATTTAATAAGGCAAAGCATGAGCCCGCGTGGCCTAATGGATAAGGCGTCTGCCTCCTAAGTAGAAGATTGTGGGTTCGAGTCCCACCGTGGGTGCTAATTTTCTGTCCTTTCTCTCAAAGGCAACAAAGATTATGAGACGGTGGATAGTCTTCCGGGGCACCTTTTAGTGTGCGCTCTATGAATATACGCACGAATACACCCGAGGTGAATCGTCAGCCTAAATTCTTCCCATTACGGTAAGTGAAGCAATGGAATGCTCTTCCCGAATCGGTTGTGGATACGACGTCCCCACACCTCTTCAATGTGCACTTGGGTGGTTGTAGGTGTTTCCTATTTTCCACTGAGACATTTAACTTGAAATATGGGCCCCATGAGATTCACGCAGTTTCCTCAAAAATAAAACTACTTAAGTTTTGTGAGTACTATTTCTGCAATGAGAGTTTCGGCAATGCATGTGAAGCTGCCTATAGCATGCCGACATGCAAAATTAGGGAGTTCCAAGGCTTTAAATACTACCCATATCAAGTAAACCTGATGCGAGTAAGAGTCAATATGATTCACTACAGAAGAAAGAGAGGGGGGAGAGAGATAGAGGGAGGCGGGGAGAGGGCGACGCCTGGAGAGCCATATCTACATTTCGACGAGAGACATCCAGGGCCATGTTTGCAATGCAAACAGTTCCAACGCCATATTACATAACGGGTATCTTTTGTCGGCCCAAGCACCCGACAATGTGGTGATTGTCGTGCGTACTGACATCTGTGTCGACTACTGGCATAGCCTACCGCCAATTTGTTAATTGCCAAGACTGCTACGGTTCTGCATTTTCCTCCTCCAATTTACTTATTTATAGAACCTCCGTTTTGGATACCAAACTATCGAATGCTACTCTTAAAGATATTATTTTTAAATACGCACCCTTTCACCTTGACGGTTGTTTTTTCCTGATTCCCATGTTGCACACTTTTTGATTTTTGATTTTCCCACTTTTTCCGTTTTACATCTCAAAGCCAATTTTCCGTTTTTCTTTCTGTGGACACTACTTAAAGATTACGCGGTTGTTGAGTTTCTTAGTGGTAAATCTGTGGCAGCCGTGGCGAAGAGTTTGTTCCACGGGGATAAATGTGTGATGTGGGTTAAGAACTCCAAGCAACGTAACCGTCTGCTGGAGAATGGTCTAAGGCCTCCAGCAGACACCAAGATTTACGCGGTCCGCTTGCTGAAGGATAACCTGCCACTCGACAGAGCGCTTCAGCTAGCTAGAAAGGCTGAAGATACTGATGATCTTCCCCACTCGGAGCCTACAGAATTAGGCTGAGGCATGAGGAAAAAGTAGGCGTTTGCTTTTCATTAATATATCTTTGTACGTTTGTCCGCCAGCTCACTTTTGATGACGACGATGATGACGGCGAAATAGTTGCGCAAAGACCGAGACAAGAAAATAGATTAACTGGCTGGCCGACGCCGCCATGCATTCTCCAGTAAGAATCCGTGTTAAAAAAGGCAACTTATAGACCACGCAACATCTCGGAAAATACACCTTGGTGGAGAGACTCAAGCCAACCAACGCCACCAAGGGACTATCAGTACGCAGTTTTTTTAAAGCTTACTTAAGGCTGCCCCCCCCCCCGGACCCAGCACAAACGCCTATGACAAACGTCTAGCACAGATGCAACAGGATGTTGAATGCGTCCTGTAGGACTGCTCCGACTCTTGATGATATACGAGTGGAAAGAAAGTCAGCTACGTGGCGGAGGAAATAGTCGAACTACGGGCTGATATGGCGCAGCGCAAAACGACCACGGCTGAAATTTTAAAGGCCATTCAGGAAACACGTCAGCCAGCTGAAGCCAGGCCGCCGTCACTGAATTTTGCCCCTGTGTTCGACCGAGGCTTACAACGCATTCGGCAGTGAGCTTGAAAAGAATGCTAGATTTGCTCAAGAGGCGTTATGCACATATACTGACACATCTATTATTTGGATGGATAACAGATTAAACTTCTGGTCAATATTGAGGGTCGAAACGAGAAAGCGTTTGCTGATAGAAGCGAACAGGCGAGTTCCAGGTAGCAGTTCAGAAGATGAAGATGCGATCACTGGAACAAGAAATATATTTGCCTGACGTTTCGGATCCTTACTCGAATCCATCATCGGAGACATTCGCAGATACAAGTGATGGTGGCACCAGGAGTGCCGCATTTATAGCACGTGGCTGCCGTGGACCGTATGCGCACTGCAATGAACAGTTATCGCAATCGCCGCTGGGGTCGTAATTGATGCGGCGGTGGCTTGGCGGTCCGAGACCGAGTCGTTAATTGCCGCGATTTCGTCATCCGTGCTGGATGCTGGTATGACGATTGCTCGGCAAACTGGCTCACTATCACCGTGATGATTGCTCGCCCGCGCCCTCCCCACGTGACTGGTACTCCTGTCCAGGGAAAATCGCAATACCGAATATGGCACCGGGAGGTCATTGTGTTTGGTGATGGATTGCGGGCCTGAGAACCATGACTCGAGCAGATCGCGGCTCACGAGGTTGTCAACCCTTGCGAGGATTTCGGCCTCTTGAAATTTAAAAATGAGGCTGTTTGAATTCTGCCAACAAACTTTCTTCACTTTTGCGGGAGAGACCTATGAACAAATCAAGGGAACCCCAATGGGCTCACCGGTCTCCGGTTTGGTGGCAGAACTGGTCCTACAGGAGTTGGAAAAGATTGCCTTCCTTCAACATGAACCGGTGTTTTGGCGACGTTACGTTGACGACACGTTCGTCATCGTAAAGAAGGACATGCTGCAACATTTTCACAGCCTGCTCAACGCAGTCTTCCCGGATATAAAATTCACGAGAGAAGAAGAACAGGAGCAACAGTTGCCCTTCCTGGATGTGCTCATCAGACGAAACCTTAACGGTGAACTTGAAACGACGGTTTATAGGAAGGCAACGAACACCACACAGCTTCTCAGTTTTCACAGCAACCATCCGGTGGCTCACAAACGAAGCTGTGTGAAGACACTCTTCAAACGGATCCAAACTCATTGCAGCAAACTGGAAGATAGAGCGCGTGAGGCCCGTTATCTCCGCGACCAGTTTGTGCAAAATGGCTATCCGAGGGCATTCATAATTCGCTGCCTACGCGGTCGCCATCAGAGAACTCAAGCATCAACGCCACCGACGATATGGCATTCTCTGCCACACATCAAGGTTGTTTCAGAAGCGACCGAGCGCATTGCTGCGGAGCTAGGGGTTGGAATCGCACACCGCCCCAAAGCCACCATGCGCAACAGGGTCATGAAGATCAAAGACCGGTTAAAACCCGAAGAGCAATCTGGAGTAGTGTATCGCATTCCGTGTCAAAATTGTCCTTGTAATTACACAGGACAGACTGGACGCATGCTCGGATCGCGCATACATGAACATAAGCTGGCTGTGAGGCGAGGCGACGCATTGTCACAAGTGGCCGCCCACACCTACGAAATGGGTCACGAGTTTGACTTCGCAGCCACCAAAATAGTTGCCCACGCCGGAAACAAAACAGGCCGAGAATTGATTGAAGCCTGGGCCTCGGATGAGAACTCGGTCAATCAATTTATCGATCTGGCGCCGGCGTACAGAGCCCTTCGTAGTCACCTCCAGTCGTGCGACGTCGGTCGATGATTGGGTCTACGTGCCTTATAACTGCCGCTTGTCCTGTTTCTGCCACTACCTCTGACGATGGACTCCTGTACGAGTCTGAAAGCTCAGGATAATAAACGAATTGTTCCGGTGCTCGATTCTTCTTCTTCTTCAAATATGTATACACCTGGAACTCGAAATTTCGCCTTCATTTGAGAATATGGCCGGGTCCCGTCGAGTGTGCCGCCACCTTAGAGTTAGCGTCTCCCCACCTCACTGCTGCTGCGTGCTCGGCAATTCGCGTACGGAGTAATCTCCCAGTTTCTCCGACATAATTGCTCTGTCCGCAACTACACCAGATCCGGTAAACGACTTCAGACGTGTCCTGCCGTGGCAGCGGGTCTTTTGGCCTCATGATTTGGCGTCTAATGGTTGCTTCCGGCCTGTGTGCAACCCCAACTCCAAGTGGAGTGAGAAGACGACTGACGGCTTCCGAGACGTTCTTCACGTACGGAAGAGCCCGCCAAAATTTGGGGCCGGTTGGATTTGGTCTCTGGTGTCCTTTTCGTATGCACTGGTTGACAAAGTTGCGCGGGTAGCCATTGGCTCTCATTACCCGTCGAAGATATTGTAATTCAGCAACCTTGTCTTCCATTTCACTGCAGTGCGTCTCAACGCGCCGGTATAGTGCCCTTACGCAACTGCGTTTGTGATTGATCGTGTGGTTGCTATTGAAGTTCAGTATTTGCGTCGTATTTGTCGCTTTCCTGAACACTTTGGTTTTTAGGCTACCACAAGCTTTGCGGCAGACGAGGACATCCAGGAAGGCCAGCTGATTGTTTTCCTCCTCCTCCATCGTAAATTGAATGTCCGGGAAGACCGCAGTGAGTTGTTCTTTGAACGTCAGCACCTGATCCCGTTCGATGACGACGAAGGTGACATCCACATACCGAGCCCAAAATTTCGGTCTGTGGTGTCGGAAAACCAGCGACTCCAGCCGTTGTAGGACCGCCTCGGCTGAGTCCCGAAATCGGTGAACCCATTGGCGTTCCCTTCACCTGCTCGTAGATTGTTCCGTCGAATGTAAAGTACGTCTTGAGACAGAACTTCAGGAGCTGGATGATTTGGGCGTGTCCGAGGCGATTCTCCGTTTCGTCGTATTTCTCTCGTAGGAGTAGTTCGATGGTCTCGACTGCCAGGTCCTGCGGGATAGAAGTAAAAAGGGACGTGACATCAAAGGAAACCATGATATCGCTTGGCAGGAGACTTACTCCTTTAAGTTTCTCCAAGAATTGCGTTGACGAGCTGACTGTGGTGTTCGAGTCGGAGGTCAGAAACTTGAGACGTTGGAACAGCCACTTTGCCAGTCCGTAGGTTGAAGTGCCCTTTAGTGATACGATAGGCCGGAGAGGAGCGCCCTCTTTGTGCACTTTTGGGAGACCGTAGAATCGGGCTAGGGCCGTTTCTTGTGCTCTCGCCATGCATCGGTCGATTGGCGATATTGCACCTGAGTTCTCCTTGTTCAGCCTTGCGTACACTTTAAACGATATTGACGAAGGCACCGGAAAGCGTTGATGTTGTAAACTGTCTACCCCCTCTCGCAAAAAGCGAGCATGTAGTCCTACAGTGGGAGTATTCTCTCTTCTCTGTACCCGATCAACGCATCGTGATTAGACGCAACATATGGCGTGGTGACTTCAACCAAATGCGTCTCGACATGCGTCGTAGAGACTGGAAAGCAGCATTTATGGGGTGTGTCCTCAAGGATTGGCTAGAACTTAAGGCCATACTGAATGAACTTATCACCAGATACTGCCCTATGTCGAAAAAGAAAATCACCAGCAGGTCCCGATGGCTAAAGGGTTCACTAAAAGTTGAAGTAAACTGTAAGCAAAAGCTGTGGAAAGCATATCTTAGGGACCAGACAACTGAATCAAGAAAAAGGTACAAGGCTCAGCGGAATAGGATAAAGTACCTTGTTTGCAAAGCCCGCCAACACTTCGAGGGTAACCTTTTAAACTGTGCAGGAGAAAACCCAAAGCTTTTCTTCAACTACATAAGACAAAGTACTCGCAACAGGGATCCCATCCGTATGCTAAAAACTTATGATGGCGTTGAACTTTACAAGGACGACGAAAAGGCTGAGCATCTGTCCAAGTTCTTTCAGTCGGTTTTTACGAGAGAAGTCGCTGTACCCACTGATCACTGTAATGTGGACAATGTCCCGACAATTGACTCAGTGGTTCTTAAAAAACCTATTGTTCAACAGGAATTACTGAAGCTAAAAGAAGGGACTTCGCCCGGTCCTGACGAATTACCGGCAAAGTTGTTGAAGGAATTAGCCACAGAATCGGTAGAACCTCTGAGCCTCCTCTTCCAAGCCTCTCTTGATGCAGGCAGACTGCCTCCTGAGTGGAAGACTGCGTGGACTTCACCGATTCATAAAAATGGCAGTCGCGCTTCCGCAAACAACTACCGGCCAGTAAGCCTCAATTCCATATGCTGCAAAGTTATGGATCGAATTATCAAACGCGAACTGATGTGGTTTTTAGAGCAAAGTCATCTTCTGTGCGATGCACAGCACGGTTTCCGCAGAGGGAGGTCCTGCTGTCTTGAACAGTGGACCCGAGCGATTGATGAAGGAAACGTTGTGCATGTGGCCTACATAGACTTCAAGAAGGCCTTTGACAGCGTGCCACACCAACGTCTCCTATACAAGCTCAGCCGCATAGGGGTAAGAGGCAAGCTTTTGAAGTGGATTGAAAACTTTTTGGTCAGTCGGTCCCAGACTGTTCGTCTTGGTGGCCAGCAATCGGCAGAGGTGACGGTTACGAGCGGAATACCTCAGGGTTCCGTTCTTGGCCCTATCCTCTTCCTCATCTATATTGATGACTGTATCCATGGATTGGACTGCAAAATTGCCATGTTTGCTGACGATATAAAGCTTTGGACCGTCATCCGCAACGAGGACGATGAAGCAAATTTACAGGCAAACTTAGACCGACTTGAACAATGGTCAGGCCACTGGCTCCTTCCATTTAATGTTACCAAATGCAACATTCTGAGGATTGGCAGAACCAGCTCTGCGCACCGACAGACGTACTATCTAAATCACACACCGCTGCCAGTGGTAGAGGTTCAGAAAGACCTAGGGGTGTGGATAACATCTTCACTAAAGCCATCATTCCACTGCTTGAAAGTAGCGAAATCCGCAATGTCCAGCTTATATCTCATTAAGCGGGCATTTGCAAAGTTCGACGAAGAGTGCTTTCGCAAGGTCTTCAGGATGTTTGTGCGCCCACAGTTAGAATTTGCCATTCAGGCCTGGAGACCCTGGACTGTTAAGGATCGTACCACCCTCGAAAAAGTCCAACGACGGGCAACCAAGCTTGTCAGAGGTCATAAAAACCTACCTTACGAAACCAGACTTTCAAATCTTAACCTCTTTTCCCTGGACTACAGACAACTCCGTGGCGACTTAATTCAAACGTTTAGAGTGTTACGGGGTCAGGACTGCTGCCTCGCATCCGGCGACTTCTTTGAGCTGGCCACCACTACTAGCTTGAGAGGACACCCTCTGAAACTACGTGTGGCAGGAGCGAGACTGGACGCAAGGAGGTCCTTCTTCAGCCACAGAGTGGTAAAGGCATGGAACGCCCTGCCTGTGGATGTCGTCATGTCCTCATCCGTGGACTCATTTAAGAGAAAGCTTGACCAGTACAGGGATATGTACCTCCACAGCATCAGAAACTAACGAATTCCCCCCTTTGCCACCCGCCCCATCCAACGTTTTATGTTACAAAGCATGCTACTCCCTACATTTTAGTAACATTATGTTTTACAATTTTCGCTATCTCCTGACCGCCACATATGCGCTTGCTTTGATATTACTTGGTCCATTCAGTACCGTATTGGATATTTTACAATTTTGACATAGAAGGCATTCACAGACAAATTCATACAAGTGACCAATGCTCGTTGTATGTAATTGCTTACCTAATTTTTTTCACACTTACCTCACACATTGTTTTTTTTATGACGTTATTGTAACCAAAAGGGAGTTCAAAGGCGCTCGCCTACTTTTCCCTTAATAAATCTGATCTGATCTGATCTGGTCATTGTGACATCCTTTCATCTCCGTGATCATGCGCCTATTGTTTATTTTGCAGTTGGTAAAGCTAACGCGTTGTTTCCTCTTTCCAAGGACAATTCTATGCGAATTTCATGAGCTTTACGCAAGCTGACGACCTTTCACCTTAGCTCATTCCGTTTTAGACGGGGTCCTTCGAAATGTACGGATTTATCTGTTGCTGCCTCCCCTTCCAAACTTTATTATATTTGCATACATCGTCTTTTAAGTTTAATATAATAGCAGTTTTATTGTTTAGCGTCCGGAGGGATCTATCGTTAAACAATTAGGACTACTTCGAATGATAAAATATCAATAAAAAAATACTGCGTTAAGGATCTACGTGAGCAGTCTTCTGTACAATGAAATTTGGGAATTATGTTAGTTACATAAGGTAAGCCTATGACGTCCACTGGCGATTTGCCCATCCGTACATGATACCTGTAATGACAATTTTCACGAGTTCCAAACTGGAAGTCTTTAGACAGAAGTGTGAATTGTCAGAGAGAAAGAGAAAAAAGTTCTAAATTTGGAGTGTGCGGGGAGTTAAGGGTTCCGCACTTCCGGTAAAATATTCCGGAGGAAAACGCGCTTCAAGACGGGATGTGGAGGAGCAGGGAGAATTCATTCCGACGGCAGGAGACACATATAAATACAGATAAGCAGGCAAGAATGAAACCTCCTTGCAGTGCACATGGAAATGCTAGGATGTGGGTGGACCTGAGGTGGGACCGCCAATGGGGATGGAGACACGAAATCTTATCGGCCAGGACGGAATTATCGTCAGGGTGGATGGCGAGTGAAACGGAGGCGGTTCAGAACGCGTGCGCACAAAACTCTGATTTTCTGCTTGAAGAGTGGGTTAGGGAGACAACTGTTTTTCGTGAATTTTGCCTGGGACTAGACTGAGAAAGGTGGGGTTTCTGATGAAAGACCATGAAAGTTGAAACCAAACACAGAGAGCGAAGTGCGAGCGGACGAGGTGGTTTTAAGATGGTCTTTTAATACCCGGATAGCTCTTTTTCAAAGTCATGGGGAAAGCTTCTCAAGAAGGATGGGGTAAATAAAAGGTTAGTCACACCCTTACTAAGACAAGTTTAATCTTCTCTCAAAAACAGATAAACTAACTAACGATCATATATCGACTGACAGATTATCCCAAAAGAATGCATATTAGGAAGAAAAGATGAGAGAGAGCCCCTCGAGATGTGCGGAGCGGGAGATTTAATGAATAAGTAAGAATTACGAAAGCTTTTTAGACAACTAGAATGGGGTAAGAATTGGAATCGGAGGAAGATTTAAACTACCCTTAGTGCGTAAAAGGAGACAGCGGCCAGCATTCAGCCTCCGAACCCGAGGAAACTTGAGATTAGTTAACTGGGATCTGTTCGGGTCGGAAGTGTCGGAAAGTACCGCACATAAGAATTTCACAGAAAAATGTCTTTGGATATTTTCGATTTTAGGTCGGCTAGACTAGTTCGTCAAACCAAAGAATGGACAGCAATATTCAAGAATAATAAGGACAAGCATTCTTTAAAGTTTTTGTTTGATTTTGGAAAGGTAGGAATTGTAAGAAATAAAGCACAAACATTGGCAGCTCTGACAGTTATTATATCGGCTTGCAGTGACAAATCTGGATTTTTGGTGTAGTTTAAACCTTGGTCCTTGATAATGGAACATTCACTTATAGGAGCACCTTAAAAATCATTGTCTAGGGTAGTCCTTCTGGTCTAAAATAAATGTAGTGATATTTCAAAGGAGACAAGTCAATTAGCAGTTCTCAGTCCCATTCCGAAAGAGAAAGAAAACCGAAAGGGAACTGCTCCAGGCTGTGCTGGGCCGTAGATTTCGAGAAAGCCTATATACGGTTGTGATCACCAGTATATAATAAAGATCAAACGTGTTTACCTGCTGGTGTTTCATAAACATGAACTAAACATTGTACAGTGTTTGCCTACCCGTTCTAAGATCCTCTCAAAAGCGGTTTTTACCCACCATAATAATGCCCAAATAGAACAATTTATCTATTCAATTCAAAACAAGAAAAAAGAGAACTTAGCACGTTACCTTGGAAAACAAAGTTAATAATGGGGCCCTCATCTGAAAATGAGGACGATCCGCCTGTCAAACTCATTTTGGGCAGTTTAATTTAATTAATTTAATTCCTCCGCGTTATATCATGCGTGTCTTCAACGGTAATGGTTCACGTTACAGCCGAGTTTTTAGTAAGCGTGTATAGTCACTATATCAGCGACGGTTCACTCCTTTTCGCAGCAGACATTCTTCGACAGGGGGTCAACGGAACTTCCAGGAAAGAAGAAGGGCGTTCGAGCATTGGAACAGTTTGTTTATCTTTCTGAGCTCTCTAAATCGTGCAGGAGTCCACCGTCAAAGATGACAGCAGCAGCAGCAGCAGCAGCAGCAGAACTAACGACGGTTTTTAGCTGATGTTAACCAATGAACGGCCACTTTCGCACGTCCGTTGGGGACTACGTCGGGCTTTGTATACCGGCGCCAGATTGATACATCGATTGATCGAATTTCCATCCGAAACCCAGACTGCGCGTAATTGTCAACAATTGTTCGTTTGGGTCCTCTGGTTGTGGGGGGGGAGGGAGGCAAACACTTATAAATCAGCCTATAAACACCCTCGGATAGCAATTCCGCATAGAGTCATTGAGGATATCGCGGGTCTCAGGTTTTTACTTCTTTGGGTTGCCTCAATTAATCTGAATACCAATAGAGATGGTTCTCATTCGGTTTCGTTTCGAGCCATCGGGTGGCTGCTGTGAAAACCGAGAATTTATACTTTATTTGTTTTCCCTAAAACCGCGTCTCACTTCCGGCGGTAGAACTTCGACTGACGAGAATGTCGAGGGTAGGCAGCGACTGTTTTTGGCTGTGCGACAGAGTTACGAATCATCGTAAGTGACTGCCTGCATCTTTGAAACGGGTTGAGAGTTAAACTCCGTAGTCACCAAGACGATCGAGTACGCTGAGAGCAAGACAAGCCGAGAATTGCTTGCACTCCGAGTTTCGGGTGAGAACTCAGTCGCTCGATGCATCAATCTGGCGCCGGCATACAGAGCCCTGTGTATTTCCCTACAAACCTGTGAAACAGACCGTTGGTTGGCTGATATTCCCTTAAAACCGTCTTTAGTTTTATTGTGGCCGTTAGGATTTCTAACACTGGACTCCTGCGCGAGTACAAGAGCTCAAAAATAAACAAATTCTTTTGGGGCTCAAGCAGTCTTTTTCATTCTTACTAATGCACACACCTGGAACTCGAACAATAACTTGCATTCAATAAAATGTCGGGTGTCTCCATTTGTTTCGTGCTCAGACAGTTGTCCCACAGGAGGATAAGACAGTCAGTCCCACAATGCGGCGTTTTGGGTTTACTTTCGTCGGCACCATTCCAGCCTTCCGTAAAGATGAGATCATGGAAATAGTCATTAGCAGATCGTAGCGGGTTATTTATCCGAATACAAAGCTTAACGCTGATGCTAGCCTTCAAATTAGTCTATCCTGAATCATATTAGAGTCCTTTGTTGGCCAATCAGATTACCTTTGTACCTATCCCGCAAGCCTTGAAAGCAGGCAGCTAGTACTGGTCATTGAAACGCTTCTTCGAATAATGGAATTATCGTTTCCAGTACAGCAGCGCTCATCCCGCGTTTTAGGTCAATTCTTCCATCTTTACATTCCCAATCGAATCTCGGCACGTGTGCCCCCCTTTAACGCTTAAACTCACACAGTCCCCAGTAGCACTTGGGCCGCAATGCACCGCTGCATCTATTCAGTTCAGTTCAGTTTATTGGGGGAAATAGGCGTAAGCTTTTGACTACCATATTTACGATGTAAAAAATGTGTGCTATACAGATAAACGTTTGACGCTGAAATAGTTCAAACGAGCCCATAATGGTAAGACAAAATGAGAACGAGTTACAGAGGATGAGCTCGATCGCTCGTTGTTCTTGGTCATTTAGGAACATAAATATGTTCAGGTACTTTCTAAAAATTTGTATCGATGGTGAAATCACAAAATCTACAGGGAGGGCATTCCATTGTTTGACCACTTGGGAACAGAAGGAGAACTTGCGCACGTCCAGCCTTGCCTGCTGAGTTCGCAGTTTAAATGAGTGACCTCGGAGTTTGGTCGTGGTAGCAAATTCAAAAAGTCCTCAAAGGCCAGACTGCAATCCAACCCCTTTACAATGCGGAAGGCTTGCAAGAGATCCCCGCGAAGTTGCCTGTAACTCAAAAGAAAGAGGTTCCGATTTGCTAGGCGGGTTACACAAGGAAAGGAGCTTTGACTCCTAACCATCTTCGTGGCTCTCCTCTGGACTCTTTCGAGGCAGTTTTGATCCTCAACCGCCCACAGTCTCCAGGCTTGTATACCGTACTCCAAATGCGGCCGGACGAATTTTCCGAATGTCTTTGAGAAGGCATCTTCGCCAAATTCCATAAACGCTTGGGTGGAATCTCGTTTGGTCCTGGCGACTTCCATTCGCCCAGCGCCTCTAATTCTCTTTGAACAACACCTGAGTAGAGTATATTACCTTTGCTTGAAGTTCGACAGTTCGAAAATTTGAAGATAAGTGGAGGATAGTATTTTAAGTGGTTTTTCTTTGAGACCTAACGATTTTAGCCCTTGTTTTTTGTTAAATTTCCTTCAATACACGCCAATCCACTCAGAACAGCCTGTCTCCATCTCCTTTTTGAGTTCTCCTGATTTGTGCCTGTTGATCACTAGTCGCACTCTGTTATTCACATTTTGTGCGTTCGATTTCTCTCTAACTGTGTAATTTTACATCGCTAGCCTCTAGCTGAAATTCAGTCACCTTGTCTGCCACAAGTTTTCTTAATCACAACTTGCCTCGAGACGAGATCAGAGTGAAAGTCACAGGTCGGCGAAAGCTCTCGGCTTCTGTACGTAAGCATGGCTTAACTAAATCTAAGTCCGAAGGCTTACCTAAATCTACTTCGGAAGGCTTACCTAAATCAAAGTCAGAAGATATAACTAGTCAGTCGTCACCCGTTTTAACCGGTTGGCAGCTTAATCTGTCTGCACTTGACAACTGCAATGACGTCATGCAAAAAATTGGCACTCTGCTGTCAATTCTTGGGAAATTATTCGACAGGAACATCCCCGATATTCTCTCTGAAGAATGTAGGCGTCTTGACTCACGTATTCACATGATCGCCAGTGAATCTAGTGATAGACAAAGGCGTGCTTACAACTTCTTCGATCTGCTCGGCCAATTGATGCTGCCACCAATTTCCAGTATTCGTGCGGTTTCAACTACAAAATAGCCGATGCTAAAGGCTTGTCCTCCCGTAACAAAAATCCACCCGTCTTAGTCAAATTATTTTCACCCATCGAGGTTGACACAATCTTTGCCCATCGAGATCCTGTGTCATGATCTTACTCCTATGGAACGTCGAATCGGGTCTCTCTCCTCACGTGAACCCACTGCTTCTCAGACTAATGCTCACCAACTCGGTCGTAGTAGGAGTGGCCGTGAGGATTCAGCTTGTACTACTTCTGCGACATCTGGCTCCATCCTCCCCTTACTCCTACATCCCCATCTCACTCAGGTCACTTGACGCATTTGCCTGTCCCTAAACTGATAGCAGCAGCAGCCCCATTTGTCGTTTCGTATCCTCCGAATAGCCCCCCTGGGAAGCATGAAAATCCGTCTACATCAGCTAGACCGATAACTTCCCCTGGTTAAAAGGGTGCTGCAAGCTCTACAGTTAAATCACGTGTGGCTTGGCGTCAGAACGGTGAGGCTCCAAAACTGAATCAGACTCCGACCGAAAAGAAAGGTAGTACAGTTCCATTTAAGGGTACGACGCCTTCTCTTAGATTTGCCAAGCCTTTACAGCCCGGCTTGTTTACAAACCTCGCAGCCCCAATTATATCCCCAAATAATTCTCTGTCCTGTGTACCGGTTACTTAAGAAAGCCCTACTACATATCCAGCAAATAATTCATACGTGAATGGCCCTTAGTCCTTTATGTCCCAATCTAGTTCAGGCTTCCCACCACTTAAGGCAAATTGCTTTCAGGTAAGTCAACCTACCTCCTTTGACTGTCAACCTAAACCTGGTTTCCCACCCTTTTTGTTCTTATAGCTGCCTACCCTCCCCCCACCAGCCTCGTCTTTCCTTCTAGGTTTCCTCCACCTCCCCTTCCCCCACAATTTAATTACCAACAAACCTATCCATGTTCTAACTCCCCTAGCATTCCAATTTTCGAAACTTTTATCTCCATATCCTTTACGTCTTATACTCAGCCTTCTCTTACTGACTCCCCGTACGTCAATATCTCTAGACTAACAGGTACTTATTCTGCAAGCATCATAAATTCGCAGCGTCCATATCGTCCTCCGAATTTTTTTAAAAGCCCTCGACAATAGTATTGCTGTTCGAAACACGTAAGATATTATATTATTGAATGCCAGGTCTGTTATAAACAAGATGGTCCAAATCAGAGCCATTGCTCTCGAAATGACGCCTGATATTATCTGTGTAGCAGAATCTTGGAACCATTCTCTAATTCCTGACTCTGCCCTTCTCATAGCTGATTTCGATTTTCACCCTCAAGACCGCACGACTAGGCGTGGGGACGTTTATCTTCTTTATCTTAGATCCTACTTTAAGCACTCTCCCCATTACTTGGATGTTTCCCCATTTACAAGAAACATCTGCTTTGCATCTGTTATTCTATCACCGCAAAGACAGGCAATTATTGGCTGTATCTACAATCCCCAAAATTCTTTAGCCTGTGATGATTCATAACTCCGTGAAATCTTTAAATTAGTTTCGGAAGCTGCTTTCGATGTTAAAATAATCACTGGGATTTAAACTTTCCTGAAATAGACTGGGTTTCCAATATCTGTCCACCTAGATTACAGTCCTTTCCAGATAATGCTAATTTTTCTAACTGGTGAAATTGATGCGCTCTCCAACAAGAGATAATCACATTTAAGATCTAATTCTTTACCAATGACATTGCTCCTCTTTTTGTTGTCTTAAAAAGGACCTCTTTGACAGTGGCCACGAATTAATTCCTTGTTGCTTACCGCCTGCCTTTTCAAAGAAGATCAGCGCCGTTCGGACTTGCATTAACTATGATTGCGTAGATAACGACTTAAAAATAACTATAATAGATCTTTGGTTTGGTGTGGCTTTTTCTCCTATAGCGATGCAACCATTCTTCGCGACGCCATCTACAATTTTTTCAAGAACATCCTAGAGTTTGTGCCGCGTAGATATCTCAAGCCTACTTCTTCAGATTCCCCTGTTTCTCATTGTCTTCACAACAGACTATAACGTTGAGACGGTATTTGCGTGACTCATCCACTAGTTCCTTATCAGTTCATCTTAGAATCATAGAGATTTTTGAGATGACCTCAAGGGTACGCCAAGCGCACGACAGGCAAAGAGAATCACTTGCCCTCAGTGATTCGAACCCTGGCAAATCCGTCGCCAACATCTTCCGTCATCGGTCCTCCTCTAAGCGTGGTCATGAAATTCCACCCCTGCTAAATGACAACAAAGTCTTCCTCATCGATGACACTGACAAGGCGGAGTTGATTAATGCTTTCTTTGCAAAACACCTTAATACTGAGTCCGAACTGGTCCCTTTCTTTCGCTTGCTTTCAGACAGGACACTGAGTACAAGTCGATGTCTCTTTATATCTCATTAAGAAACACATACGTAGTTTGAAAAACTCAAGCTGCTCAGGAACGGACGGAATTCCCAACTGGATTATTAAACTGGTATCCGACCTTCCCATATTGCTTAGTCGATTATTCTCGGTTAATACTTCAAAAGGATTCCTTCCTGAAACATGGAAAACGTCAATTATCTTTCCCGTCTTCGTGTTTACATAATATTGCCGCGTTTTATGGATGTGATTTCGATTCCCGAGACGCAGCATGGTGCATTTGCTCAAAATGAAGGACAGGAGCCATATGTGGGACCACTTGTCCAATCGAAGAAGATTTTCTTGACAGTTGGTTCCGTCGGAAGCATCGTGGATGAATTTCCAGATTTTAATATCATCTGTGAACATGAAACAATCACAGTCCAGCTCCTCTACACAATCGTTAATAAACAGGAGCACTTAGCCTTGTGGGACTCCACTCTCTATGGAAGTGTGTCAGGATTGTTGTTGCCAAACGTAGACAATCTCGGAACGGTCGACGAGAAAATTATCGATTCTTTTGAGACGTTTACTTCTGATAACTATCATTCTCAATCTGTAAAGCAGACGATGGCGCGGACCACTGCCAAACGCCTTCAAGGAATAAATAAAGGTCACATGCACAGGGCGTCTTGCATCAAGTGCTCATGATCGGCTTTGCATTGCGTAAGGCACTTTCGTAACACAGGATTTTCCCCTATGAAAGTAAATTGTGCATTGGACAAGAAGTTGCGAATTTTTAAATAACCCGTAAACTCCTTTTTGATGATCTACTCCATGACTTTGCCACAGATTGATGTCAGACTGACGGGTCTGCAGCTGAGCGCAAGTATACGATTACCATCCTCGCAAAGTGGCGTAATGCGGCCCGTTTTCCAGTCTATGGAAAGGATTCCTGCAGAGAACGAAAGAACAGTGGATTGGCCAACTTTCAAGCAAGTTATTAAGGCAATTTTGCTGGAATCTCGTCTAGACTTACACTCCTTCAAGATTTTTAGTTGTTTAAAAAACACTTCTTTCTACTCAAAACGCAATGTTTTCAACGATCGGATATTCCATGCTCTCCGAACTAGGTGGACTAACAATTTTGCTGGTCTCCGCCTTTAGGCCCCAGAAAGTTCGATGACTTTCTTGAGGCTGTGGATGTTGGGATGTGGAATCAGGTTGTTGATTTTCCCACCCGAGGCTCAAGTATACTTGACCTAATTTTCTGTAGAGGCTGCTTGCCATCGTCAGTGTCATCCCTAGGCCCACTCGGGGACTCAGACCATGACACAGTTGTTTCAACGTTGGAATTCGAGGCTGACGAAATGTCGTCCCAAAAGTATAACTTTTTCCGCGATTTCCGATCAACTCGCTCAACCGAATTATTAACACACCTTAATTCCTACGACTGGACTGATTTCTTCCTTAGTTCGGATGTAAATGTTTGCACTGCAAATCTGTACGAAATTTTGGATCCGCTTATTTCTCGTCTTTGTCCCCCGTAAGAAAATTATTAATGTTGGGGATGAGGTTTTCCTACCCTTACCCTTTCGTCGCAGATTGAGCAGACTTTATCGTCGTTTCCATCTGCAGAACGATGTTTCTGTTCTGCCCTTGATTTGTGATATTTTTGATCGAGCTAAGAGATTGTCTGAAGAAAAACAGCTAGCCGAAGAGGTCCAGTTTACCGAAAACCATTCGTTAAATGTCTCGAAACTTTCCTCTATAAAAATACGAACTCAGAGAAAGACGCAGTATCCCATCCTTCGAGACGATCTCGGAAATCCCATAGTTGATGCCCAATTAACCGCGGATAGCTTCAATGATTTCCTGTCCAAAACGTTTATTGAAGACTCGACCACTCCGCTTGCGACCATCCAGTCATTGACCGGGGCAGTTCTAGAAACTATAACTTTCACTCTGTGGGATGTGACTGTTGCGATTCGGCGTTTTCGTCCATCTTATAGTCCAGGCCCTGATGGTGTCCCAGTAAGCATTTTAAAAGCCGATGCAAACACGATCTTCCCATCCCTCTTATGCAAGATATTTAATCTTGCTCTTGAAAGTGAAACTTATCCAACCTTGTGGAAGGAATCACACATTTTGCCCATTCCTAAGCACGGCAAATCTACATCATTTGATGACTTTCGGCCAATAAACACCCTCCCCGCAGTTTCGACACATTGATCAAAGATAAGATGATGCGTCACATAACAGCGAATAACTTACTGAGTGTTGCTCAGCATGGATTCCTCAAAGCTCGATCTTGTAACACCTGTCAACTCTCTTTCTTTGACTATGTTCTCCAATCTAGGGACCATGGTTTTGCTCTTTAAACGATCAAAATTTTCATTGGCGCTGGGAGGGCGATAGACGCAGCAAATGAGTAGGGAGAACTTTTTTTAGTGCAACCTGGAGCCAACAGCTGCCTTCTTTTGCGGAAAAGTGCGGGAGGTCCAACGGCAAACATGTAAGTGTTTGCTTAACGTAGACGCAGTTGCCCCCACCACGGCTATCTTGGCGATCATTTCGAATGCATTTGTAGCCTAGAAGAGAGAGTTCGGAGTCAGCTACTGAGGCTGATGCCCACGTCTCAGTTACTAAAACAATATCAGGACAATGGTGTCACTTAACAGTGAATAACTTGCTGAGTGCTGCTCAGCATGGATTCCTCAAAGCTCGATCTTGGACACCTGTCAACTCTCTTTCTTTGACTATGTTCTCCAATCTAGGGACCATGGTTTTGCTCTTTACACAGTATATTTCGATTTCACTAAGGCTTTTGACCGTGTTGACCATGCTCTTCTCCTCTTGAAATTGTCCTCTTTCGGAATAGGTGGCAAACTTTTGAATTTTATATCCTCTTATTTGGGCACTCGCACACAACGAGTTAAGATTTCCAATACCATCTCCAACCCCACACGTGTGAGGAGTGGAGTCATTCAGGGCAGTGTACTCGGCCCGCTTTTATTTTGCCTTTTCGTTAATGATGTACCCGATTTATTTCAGAATGGTAAGCCTTTCATGTATGCCGATGATCTTAAAGTTGCATATCGATATAAGCCGGCAGATCATGACATCGTGCTTGAGCTCCTAAATAGCGATCTACAGGCTTTCGCCCAGTGGTGCCGCACATGGCGCCTTTCTCTTTCTTGGCATAAGTGCTCAGTCATGGTGGTTGGCGACGACCACCAACCTCAACTAAATATTGAAGGTCACTCCATAAATGTGCCCAGGGTTATAAAGGATTTGGGCGTATCATACTCCAAGAGTCTCAATCTCTCGGAGCACTGTGCCTTGATAGTCTCCAAAGCACGCAGAACGACCGGGTTTATCCTCCGAAATTTTAAAACTAGGGAAATAAGAATGCGCCTTTTCAACATGTACGTTAGACCTGGCCTGGAATACTGTTCGTTTTCATTTAGCCTCATGCGTGCTACTGAGCGGAAGAAAATAGAATCCGTTCAACACTTTTTTTACCAAGAGAATTTTAACCCCGGAACACCGACATTTGTCTTACCAAGAACGTTGCCGGCTTACAGGCCTCGATCAGTTATGGTTCCGTAGATTACAAAAGGGACTATTTTTGCTATTTAAACTCTTATATAATCACACATTTAACCCACTCACCTCTTTAAGACATCATATCCACCCACGACGTAACAGTCACCGTGAGGTCATTTTATTTCTGCCTCTGGCACGTACTGTTAAATATCGTCGGTTCTTTTCTGTAAATGCAATTGTTATTTGGAATATACTACCCATGAGTGTAAAAACTCTGCAAAATTTTCCTTTACTTATGAGAACTATTACTCGATTTTTGCATTCAGAAAAGCTCCCACAAATTTTGGGTGCTGAAAACTCTGATGGCGTTTGTGGTCTCTAAACACTATGGCCGGTCTCACCAGCTGTTCCTCAACGCCTCTAATTTGCCTATCCCCAACTTCATGAAAGGAATTTGACGTCCGGTAATCTCCGATACCGTGAAACCTCCCCCCTTCTTGACGGGGATGGCGTTTGTGGTCTCTAAACACTATGGCCGGTCTCACCAGCTGTTCCTCAACGCCTCTAATTTAGCTATCCCCAACTTCATGAAAGGAATTTGACGTCCGAAAATCTCAGATACCGTGAAACCTCCCCCCTTCTTGACGGTCGATATTCTACCACCGCCGGCAGTTTTTTCTCCTGAGCCCTCCAAACAATAAAACCACCATCAACTATATTTTTATCCCTTTAGCTCAGGAGTTTTTTTTCACTGCCGGTCGGATTTATGTTTAAACGCCTCCCTTGACAATGCCTGTAAACTGGCATTAAATAAAAATTTATTTATTCATTTAAATTTATTTAAAAGAAGCGAAGAGGCGAGTACCAGGAAATAGTCGCGAATAAAAAGAAACGATCCCTGGAACAGGAGTTTTGTTTGCCTGACGTTTTGGATTCTCCCTCGAATCCATCATCTGAGACAGAGTCAGATAGGGGTGGTAAATTGTCTAGGTGTTGCAGTATTTGTAGGATGTAGTTGCTAGGTCGATACATGCCTATCGCAGTTGGCAGCCCCCGAGTGCATCACTTCCGACTGGCCAGGTGTTGAAGTACGAAATTGTCGTGAACTTGCTATGCGCTTGTGTGCCGATCAAGATTATCGATTCCCACGCTCATCGTACGCAGTCAAGTTGCTGACGGCCGGAATTCGTCATGCGTTTGGACCTTTGGGCAATTTGGCTCGCCAATATTGACACAAGGAACAGTGGTCGTCCGGATGATGTCCTCACGGCTAACTAATTTGCCTAAACAAAGCCTCAGCGGCGAATATGGAGGGGGAGGTCCTTGTCCTTGTTGATTGAGAACCGGAAAACCGTGACTTGACCATTTCGCGACTCTCGCAGTTGACACCTCTAACAAGAGTTTCCGCTTTTTCAAACTTGAATGCGTGGTTTGGTTCCGTCGGTGAACAGCGGCTTTGAAGCGGACGCCTTTCCTGCTCACCGCTACTGCGTGGTCGGCCATCCGCGTTCCCAGTAGTCTTCCGGTTTCTCCAGCATAATTGCATTGCCCTCAGCTGCACCCGACACGGTAAACAACTCCAGATGTTTCTCTCCGTGGCAATGTCTCTTTGGCCTCATGATCCGGTGCCTTATGATTGCCTTAGGTCTGTGTGCTACTCAAATTCCCAAGGGTGTGAGAAGGCGGTTGATGGCTTCTGGGACATTCTTCACGTACGGTAGCGTTGGCCAAAATTTGGGGCCGGCTGGATTTCGCCTCTCGTCTCGTTTTGCGCAGGCACTGGTTGACGAAGTTGAGCGGGTGGCCATTCACTCTAAGCACCTGTCGAAGGTATTGTAATTCAACATCCTTTCTTCCGGTTCACTCCAGTGTGTTGCCACACGCTGATACAGTGTCCTTATGTAATTGCATTTGTCACTGATTTGGTTTGGTGTTTGTATAGTTCCTGAATACATTGGTTTTTTTGCCACCACAATCTTTGTGGCAGACAAAGACATCAAGAAAGACCAGCTAGTTGTTTTCCTATTCCTCCATCGTGAATTGGATGTCCGGAAATATGCCGTTGAGATGGTCTTCAAATTTCAGCTTCTGGTCCCGTTCGATGACGACGAAGGCATTATCTACACACCGAGCTTACGCCAATAAAACTCTTGTCCCAGCTATCGTATCTCCTTCTTTGGGACTGAAAATTGTTTCTCTTGTGAAAACTGAACGGAAGAACCGAGAAAAATACTCATTTTGGTATATGCTGTCTGGTATCTCCAAAGGGACAAATATTCCTGTTCTGTAGGTCTTAGACTATTTGTTGGCGATGACATACACTGCCAAACAAGACGTTTGGAATGGGTTGAACTGATAATAGGGGGTTCTGTTTGCCAATTTATTACGACTAATATGTGTGCCGAAGCGTCTGCTCTGAAAGACGAAGTTTCTACATGTTTATAACACCAACTGAAGAGCAAAAACACCTTCCTAGCGCAAGCGAAAGTTGCTGATCGAATAACGTCTGAGCGTTAATATTTGCAGAAAATTAAAATCATTCTGTGCTCATAATAAGCACAAGCTCGGAATCTGCCTCAATTTTCACGACCAGTTTCCCTTACTAACTGGCTGCGCAAGCTAATGCGCGTAATTAACTGTCGGGCACTGTCACTAAGCTCAGTTAATAGAGTTACGCAGAGAGGAATTCAAGACCCAGTTTGAAAATGCGTACTGATAAGAACGAACACTACAATGGGGGACTGGAGAGCCCACAAACTTCAAAATCTGGTGTTATTATACAGGTAACGAAAATCAAGATTAAATAAATATGCCCGAAGTTGCCGAGAAATGTCATCTTCTCTAGGGTCAAGTGGTTGGCCTACGAGCATGCCGCAATCGAATATGAGCAGTCCTCTTTTGTTATAATTTTGTTAATAAAAACAAACACTAGAAGCGGCAGATTTGTCCTGAGACTTTTCTTCGTCGCACTGTTCGGGCAAATATTCACTGGTACGTAGCCTGTTAGCGGTGTTACCTATTGTTTGGTTGCCCTTCGAATTAAATCAGCCTTCTGCGGTAATTTCTTTGTTGATACCTGTCTGTGTTCGTATGCCATAAAAATGCTGAAGATAGGTCAATATTGACCGTCTTAATTTCGTTCTCCCTGCATATGAATTATTGCTAGTGTGTAAATAAGAGTAAGGCCCCGTGCTTGTTGTTCAAGACGCCTATTAAGTCGTCAGGATCGTCTCTCATCAATTTGACAACAAAGAACATGATGCTATTATTATTTGATATCCAAAGAAATCTAACTATGCACCGCAGCACCCTCTATCTTCAAATCCACAAATCGCACAAGAATGCATCAATGAACATCGTGCGATGTCGGTGCCTCCTAAGGCTCTTCGCCCCCGCATCGGGAACCACCGTATGCTGGATTAGTGCCCAGGCACTGCCTCTTCTAGAGTAGAGGGGTGTCCCTCCGGTCGTAGCTTGCAGTTGAAAATGCGCCAAAAGAAGTAGCAGATTGGCTAGTTTTCTTCCTGCAGTGTACGGTTTCTATGACGTTTGGTGACGCGTAGGGTCACAGGTTTGACGCCAACCCTGCAGTTAGGACAATGTCGTCCGACAATGTAGTTTTTGAGGTGATTTTATTTTTATACAAGGCCAAGAACTGACAGTTAAAAATTCACACAGGAAACCATTTAAATGTACGTGCAATAAGCCATGGTGTTACAAATCCACGCTGATCCAGCTCTTCCTGGTTATTTTTCCTTCGTGCGCACTGTGCAAGGACTTGTCAGTAATTTTTCTGAGAAAATCTCGAACCTCATTCTTTCAGCACCATTTTCTGTCGTTGTTTTTTGACTGTAATTGTAACCGTTATGATCCTCTGTGCGACTTTTATTTGACGATAAGTGATTTTCTTATTCAACCATCTACACATACATGACCGCCGATTTTTTGTTTAACGTTGGCAAACAAAAACAGTCCTACTAAATGCGATCTAAAAACCTGCTAATTGTCGTTAGATGTAGGTTGAACGTCAAGTACCTCGCCTGGTTATTCTAATTGTGCCACTCATTGGCTGTGCTTCAAATTCTTACTATCTAGCTCCCTAGAATTTTGCCATTACACAATTTATAAAAAATCCTATAAGAACTTCAGCATGCACCCCTATATGCAAATTTATTTCGTTTCCAAAACAACTGACCCAAAGGAATTCCTCCTCAGCATTGGCGCCTGCTTGTTGGTAATCCCTCATATTCGTGAGTCCTGCGAACCCATTCCAACTCACCACACGGATTTCTGTGTTTCAATGGTCCTGCCCGATTGTTGTAGTCACTTTGCCTGCGCTCTGACGTAATATCGATCTTGGTCCATTTCCACACCCACTGTTCCGATAGTAAAACAAAGTCAGGTCGACGGAAGACTGACATGGGTGTTGTCAGAAGTGAGTGCAAGACGTGAAATATAAATGACTCATGCTACCATCCTATCAGTTCCGTGGTATGTCGCAGAATATCAAGGCGAAAAACCAGCACGAGAGCTCAAGTTGGCTCGGTGGCAAATAAAAATATGTGAGCAACGCTAAGAGGAGAGACGTTCACCGATAGTGGGGTACCTGTATTCTGCCGTTTAAGTTATCCTATTTGGTTACCCACCTTTAGAGATTGCATAGCGCTTTGCACAACTCTCATTAGCGCGCCTGTCACATGCACATTGTGCCTTACACGTAGATCGCCAATTCCGAAAGTGAGTGCTAAGCAAATCTCCGTTTCGATCTATTGTCGATCTACGCTTCAAATACAAGGCGAATTCAATCTTCACGCTAGTGACAGTAGCGCACAGGGCTCTTTAGCCTCTTAAAATGACTGAATCCTGTATTTGAAACGCCAGGACGGAATTACACTTCGTAATAATAGCAGTTAATACATAGGGTTGGATTTTGTCTTAGTAAACAGCTAGGTCAGGCGTCAAACTGAAGTTGTCCAGGTTTGTCTAACTACTCTGGATTCTGCAGTAGACAGAACCGACTTTAGCTAATAAGATTCGTTCTAAAAGGCATGCCTTGCATGCACCAATGAATAGCAACCACGGCCGACTTGACTAATAAATTGTACGTAGCACTGTTTGTGGAATACGTGCTAGTCCACGCTGACATCGTCAATTTAGTTACTTCGTTTTATTTCAGTACGATTTTTGTTAAACTACAAAGGTCGCACCTTTCGGTCTTAAGTTACTAACTTTCCGACTGTTATAAACATACTCGCTAACCAGGGGCAGATGTTGCAAACTCGACGCCCAGGAGGACGGTTTGGCATACGTTTCTCTTGCCTCCAGGTTAGGGTTTTCTCTGCTACCTCTGTAACAGTCAGCCGTCCTCACCAGGATGTTCATAACCGTCTTGCCTTAGTGGGACATCGTGAAGTTCAGCTGCGCTATGCAAATTAGGAATGAATCACACGCAATCATATAGCACGCCACTGCTGAGGCCTCACCTACAGACTCAAGTTCGATGTCGACTAACGGACTGGCTACTGGCCCGATGAAGACAAAAGTGTTCGACAATTAGTTACACAGGAAAGTTCTCCGGCTTCGGCCTGTGGATCATGTCTTGGACGTGGTGCTTCACCACTGATAAGTGGCAATTCGTGTCAGTACCCAGGTAAAAGACTGTCTCTAGATTGTTCGGCCACCCCTCAAGTAAATGCCAGACAAAAACTCATCCTCGACACAATTTTTTCAAATCCCTGTATGGGTTGGTGCCGTCAACCCCGTAACCAAAAATGAACGAATGCATTTAAGACCAAATCGGAGGGAATATTAGAGTAAGACAACGACCCCTGAGCCTTCAATCAACAACAGCAAGATACGGATCACATTGACCTGTGATGCCGTTGATTTTGGGGCTCACTTAATCACCATTTGTGGCAAACTATGCAGGTACCAGTAGTAAACTTCGCTAATCATTGTTTCTTTAGCCATCGGATTGTCTATCGCCGTGATGTCTAATGAGCTGCTGATTTAAATTCAACAAAACTGTGCTTTTCCACACGTAATCGAGGTTTCGTAGCCGAGAAAGTTGTCCAATAACACCATACGCGATCGGCTTGTGTACTTGTTTGATCGTCCTCGGGATCCACTGGCTTTGTACCATATATTATTTACCACTTTTCCTCTCACAGAACGACCTGATTATAATTATTTGCATTAAAACCCTTCAGAATGGCTTTTTGCACAGCTATGCCAGAGTTCGTTTCTATCCATGTCGTCGTCTGGTGTCCTTGCTATTGCCAAAAAGAATGTCGTTTAGGAAATTTATTTTCGATGCCACTGTGTTTACACGAAATTCATAACTGTCAAGAATCTATAATATCCAGTACGCAATCATAACTTACCTACATGCCTCTGCGGTCCCACTTAAGTCCCCGTAGCCTAATACCAACTCCCGAATTTCCCTTCCTCGTATGGCGTTGATGCACCTTATTGGATGGGAAACCTTACTTGACAATCTAAGATGACTTTGCTTAACCGACTATACGACCTGGGTTTGTGCAGTTTCCAAGACACTGCTGGCTAGAAGTCACCTTACACGGGATTTTTTTGTGGTAAATATGATTACTAACGACATTATGTGCGAAGGCCACGCTGTACACTTCACCCACTGCTTCTCGTGCCCAGACTTACTATTCTACCTAGGTGTTTGCGTTTAGTCCCCACATCGCCAAAGTTCTTATCCGGTGGGAGGTTGGCGTCTGTGTGTTTCACTGTTATTAGAACTAACGTTGCCCTCGCAACGAGCTGCGCTGTATGTGCGCTGAACCAAGACGGGGTCAGATTGGTTCACGGCATGCGTTAGTAGGGCTGCCTAGAGTCCACGCGAGCCTGCAGAAACTAATAGTAGCACACCTAGGCGTAGGCTCCATACAGTGTCAGCCAGCAGCGTTTAATCCCAGCATCAGATGCTTGGCAGGCTCGGCCAGTCAACTGGTACATGGGGGGAGGGGGGGAGGAGAGAGTGGGGCCGACTCTAGGGAATCCACCCTCACGGCGTGTCAGCGCATTCATCATTATGATAAATTTCCCTCTGGCTCTTTATGGCACTCACACGCACACATGAGATCCGAGCCGCCCTCGTGAAAGCTTCCTACACGTTGGAATCAGTCTGCGCGTTGCACGCGTAGACGGATTCTGTAGTCTTGTCAGCTGGTGCTTCCGAACCCAGTCCTGTTGTCTGGACGCTGCCCTGCCATCAGAGCCAGCTGAGGGAGGAGAGAGTGCGGCAGATGCTTCGTAAGTCTGCCTCACCGCAAACTAATTCACGCACGAGTCTACAGCACTGCGCCCTCGTTGTAGGGCGCGCGATGGACGTCGTCGTTCGCGACGGTCGAACTGCCGAGTAGAACCGACTCATGGATTATCAGAAGCGGGCTGTTTCTACCCCGTTTCAGGACCTGTTGTGAAGGTCGAGGCGGATTTGTTATGCTGATGCTCTTCCTATGAGTAATCCTACTGCTAGTTCATCTGCCCATTCCCAATTAACGCTAGTCATCTAACCTATTTTTCTTGGGGAATTAAGTACTACCTCCTGGCCTGCTTCCCTTTCTAGACAAAAACAAATTATTACACCACCACTGGCATGACTCACTTAGCAGATTAGGCGTCGTATATACCAAGAGGGTGGTGCGTTCTGAATGTAGGCCAGGCATTTTTCTTCCCAAGTCTGGGCTCATGGCTGATTAACCTCAGCACCAGATAAGCAGACTGATATGCGGAGCTAGCCCTGACGGCACAGCGAGTCCAACTGGTCTCTTTTACGGACTACGGTATGACAGGCTGTCTGCAGCGGTGAACAGCAGCAACCACACCTAGTATTGCTGTCAACTACAATTAAAGCCAACCCAGGCCTGTCTTGCCTCAGACGAGGGCTCCGCGTTGCTTTTATTTTTTCCTTATTCTACTCCTCAGTTCTTTTGCCTCTCCCGCCTGTCTCATGCTCTGCTTGATTCTCCCCTTATATCAGCCCCAGATGCTACAGCCTGACTCAATGCCTTCCCGTCGGCTGAACTGTCTCAATGAGTTCACTATGCAAAGCCGTCTCATGACGGAGGAGGAGACGAAGGGGGGCAAGCGCAGCGAGTGGTTCCGTGTCAACCTCACGGGTGAGTGCTTTTTTTCAACTGCTGCCCTCTCCCCGCAGCCGCAGTGCTGTTCTCCAGTCTTTTATCGTCCTTTATTAAGCTTCGCTCGGTAGCGACTCAGTTGTGCTCAACAAAAATAGTCTCTCCCAAGAGAAGATTATTTACACGCCTGGTGAGGAGGCCTTGTGCATACACAGTATCACTCTCTCTCCCTCTCACTTTTTTATTCTCGTTTCACTTGGTGCCTAGACGAGGATAAGATTGAGCGCAGTGCTGAGTATACCTAACCGCGCACTGTGGTAACGAAACCGGGTCCATAACCTAAAAAACCGAAGCAATCGACTTACGGAAAACTTTCCGGATTCCCACTTTCGCTACGCTGTCAGGTCCTTACTGGATGCCAACTAGACTACTAAGTTAAGATTGTGAACGTCAGACGGGGCTCTATCTTCTCCGTCAAGCGTCGCTTATTTGCAAGGCAAAGTCAGGATTCATTGAGGCCTTGTTTTAAATCCGGTCTTGTGCGATCGATTCTAAAGATTCACTACCCCCTACCAACAAACTTTTGTTGACAAAATTGCGCTCCTAAGACCCAGGAAATGGTTATTCCCTAACCCACCGTTGTTTTGACCGCAGTCGTTCACGATTTGCAGCGTAAAGTTAAAGTGAATTACATTGAAAGTCCGCACCAGCACAGGACAGTTCGATCGTCGACTTCGATGATGTCTTCCGTGTGCTCCACAGCAGGGTAAGAGCAAAGATGGTGAATTAGGCTTTTAGTTGACTTGCGCTGTACCTACCGCACTATCTCCTCTTCCCCCACCTGGACCCGGTGTCATGACAGAGTCAAGAAGACCGAAGGAGGGGAAGGGCGCAGATGACTATTGGCACGACCAAAACCCGCACCTAGGCGTGCCACCACCCCCTGGTTCACAACCGACACTGACCTGGATTTTATACATCAAGAAAAGGGAGGGGAGGGCAGCGTAGGTCCCAGTTGGCAGGACGTGAGACGGCAACTCGACCTGCCGCTACATCCCAAATGTCGGCATTCGCGGTAACGGCTGCTGCACTCCGATTTAGCCCCTTTGTTGGCCAAGCGACACCCACACACGCACCCATACTGCCCTTGTGGGTCTGCTCAGTCGCCTTCATACCGACCAAGCGCAGTGTTACTTGTACAGGAAGGATTCCTACACGCGGTTTGTGGCCGAAGACCCCAAGATATTCTTGACCAAAACGCTTTTGGAACCGAAAACACCCGTCCTTTAAGTGCAAGCTTCGAAGGTGTAATATGCCATCAAATAAGTACAAGGAGGACTACTTTTGTGCATATTTTCTATAAAATATATTCGAACCTACAGAGGCGTACTGTTTTCAGTGTGGTTCTTGTAGGCTGTCGTGCCAAAGCTCGTTTTAAAAGCCAGCATTCTGCTACGACTTAAATGTCCCGGGATTATGTTCCACGATAATTATTGCAACAACCCTACTTAGGTTATCTTTTCTAATTGAAGGCACATTTCAGAATTTCAGCTGACAGTTCATGAGATAGTGCGGTTACTGTACCTGACGTTAGTCGTCTGCCTGCGCCGTCGCAAATGGGATCTTGCACTAGTCATCTTTACCCGAGACTTCTCCAATACTGCGTTCTTTAACTGTATATTATCAAAAAAATGATACGCCTACCCTGCCAGTTTTGAAAAGATTTTTCATAAGCCTGTCCATGTGGGCGCCGACTTTGACGTCCAAAACATCACGGAATGATGAAAGGTATTAGCAGTGTTGTTGAAAAGTGAACGGTAATTATTAGCCCCGCACAAGTCATGAATGGGTCTAACGCAGCATTTTCGTGACGAGAACATCTAATTTCATACCGCAACATTGCGTGCATGTGATGTTGGGCAATTTCGAGACCGTCCTATCACTATGATCAAAAATATAATTTTTTGTATTCTCATGACAGCAGACCACGTCTTGAAGTCTCATACCCAAAGAAAGCGTGCATTTGGGTTTTTAAAAAATTGTAATTATAAGGTCTTTTTTATGACCGTGAAATGTCCATCGAAATAGCGTCATATTTGACATTTTATTGATGCTTATTATGGAGCATACAACATAGTCCACATTCACGTCAAAGTTTTATGAGCCCTATATAGTATCTTCTTAACGGCATGGAGGAATGTACGATTTTTCTCTCATAGAAAGTATGCAGCATGTAGGCTGTAGTGTAAACGGCAATGCAAAGGCAGGTCGGACTCAAAAACATTCCAGATTTGAAAAACTCGGTTAAACCTAAATATACCTTCCCAGTAGGAAGTTTCAAGAAAGTGTGATTTGCAACCAAATGAGCACAAGAAGGGATGTTTTTGAGCACGTTTTCTGTAGAATTTTTCCGAATTTGTAGAAACGTTGAACATAAATGGAAAAAAGCTTGCTACTTAGAAAAAGCTCAAGTCGAAAACCCATCTGAGAATTTCGGTTAACATTTCATGAGTTTGGTCACTGACTGCGTATATTTCCATTCCCCTCGGCGAGGCGACTACGGGCTTTAAAGTTATCAAAAAATTCTCTACAGATTTGAGGGAAACTCTACACTCTCCACCGTGTGTGCTACTGAATTGCGCTCTGGACGCCATGTACTTCTAAAGTCGCCGTCTGTTCTACACCACCTGTCTTGTTATACGCGATTACCTCACCCACTTCAAAGTCCAGCTTTTTGTCAGTCTATTCCAGCGTTGCACGACATTCCGGTCAGCCATGATGATTCTCACACCTATTATTAAGTCTCACTGGTTGTCATTCACCTGTTTTTCTGTGTCAAACGGCCCTGGTTACAATCAGTACCCATTTACACCGTTGTCTCTCGTCTTCCTTCCACCCAGACTTATCCCCCCTGATATGTGTGGGTCTGGCAACATATTCACTGGCATCTGCATGTTGTCTACCCTTAACGCCGCTAACAAGGGTGACCGCTTGTTGTTGATACCTCGGTAGGATGTGGTTATGTAGCCGCACCTGATGGACACAATACTGCTGGGGTTGGGGTCAGGAGTTAGGGTTAGGGCAACTATTTCTCAACCACTTAAAGTACAACCGCGTATTCCCAATAGCCTTTATTTTGCATACAACTACTTCACCTCGTCGCCCGTGCGTTCCCCTGCCTCACCTGTAAAAACCCCTCTTATCACCAGTTCCGTATTACAGGTGGATGGGGTTTGTTTACTTCAGGTGGGGCTACATAACCACGTCTGACCGATACCCCTCCAGTCCACACCAGATCAATTATTACACTTTAAACAAACTCCTGTCGATGTGCTCAGTGGAAAACTCTGCTCACTATTACGGCCAAACTAATTCCTGCCACCAGTTTCTGTCAGTTCACTTGTTGGTACGTACTAGGGAACTGCGTTCATCGGGCAGTCGGAACTCTTTTGGACTCTGAAAACCTTAGCTCAACCGTTACACAAAATTGGGTGAAACCAGCCCCCCCCCCCACCCCATCTCGGCTAGTATAAACTGGTAGGGGTTATTGGATTGTCTCTCTCACCAGTGCTATTCACGGACGCCTGGTTTTTCCCAACTCTTTCAGTTTCTCTCCGCGACTTGGTTGTAGCGCCTCCGCTGTAACAGTCGCTGCGTTTTTAGTGAAAGAACTGGCAGAATTACTTCCTCGCCATATGCCTGTCCTCGTACGATTGTAAACCCTAGTAGAAAGCCCTCGAAGGGCCTGGGGCCATAGCAATGTTTCGGGGACGGTAATTTCATTGTTCTCACCCACCTGTCCCTCCCCCCCCTGCCCCACAACTTTCTTTGTTCTGCGCCAAGACTGCGCGCGCGCGCGCGTGTGTGCCAATTAAACGACCGCCCCGGCCACCTCTGCTTCTGCCTTCCGAAATCTCTACCGTTGTCACACCCGGGGGGGGGGGGGTGGGGGTATGCAGGCGGAAATTGTGGCGCGAATCTGTGGAAAAAGCACCGAACGCGACGCCGCCCTAGTTACCCCCTACCACTGTTGTAGGCATGCCTGTAGTGTGTTTTTCGGTCAGCTGATGATTCGAGCAATCACATAGAAACATAGGTGCACCTTAAATCTGCCTATGCTGTCGTTCAGCGCGGCACAGATCGATGGCTGTGAAATGACACTCTTATCGGGAAGCTGTGAACAAAGAGCGCAGCTATTATTTTATGACTTTGTCTCTCTCTCTTTCATGGTCTTTGTCCGTCTTCTCCCTTTGTCCTCTGTAATATCTTGATAGGATTGTGTTTTGAAGGCAGTCTTCGTCATTTGTAAGCCGTTTACGGTCGTCGCGTGTATGCAGAACGCAACAGTCTAACGTCGCATTTACCTCTCCCCCCACTCCTAATTACCTACTTACTGTGGCCTATCCAAACTCGTCAACTGTACGTAATCACAGGGACGTGGTGTGATTTTAATTTACCCCAACAATGTCTTCTTAGTTTCATCCAATAGCCGCCTGCAAAGTCTTTTGAGAGCGACGTTCGCTGATTCTACCTGCATGCGGAAGAACATACGGGACGGAGCCGTTTTTCTTCTGAGTCTGCAGACGGTCGCGTAATAACTAATGATCAGGGTGAAACGGCACGCCCACACTTCATCCTGTAATTGAGCCAGATTGTTGATTGCTGGTCGCCGTCCCCAACGTGATTCAGACTACTACTTACGATCGTAGCCGAAATGTTTAAAGCCCGTGGCCTAACAGGTGAAATGTTCGACTAAGCAAGAAACTGAGGCAAGATCCTATTTCGTAGCGTTACCTGTAAGGGGTTGGGAGTTAGGGCTAGGCGTTAGGATGGGGATTGTCTACTGCAGGTGTGGCTACGATATAAGATCCGACCGAAACGGAGCCCGTTTTCAGACCTTAGGTTGGAGTATGACCGGCCGGCAGCGTCGAATAAGCCCAAGT